TTACACCTGAAGATGGTTCGATGAAACCGAAACATGTTGTAAAAATGTTCCAAATGTAAATCGATTATTCGATGTGGAACATAAAATGAAATTTTAATTATCTTATTTGTAAATTTTAAATATAATTGTGATTAGACGGACAAAACCGAATAATTAATTTAATATTTGATTCACAATATGATGCAATTATACTATCTTTTAGGAAGAGTTCTTTCAGCCTCATTTTGAATAGCCTGTCATTTCTTACCTGTTTTATGTGAGCAGGAAGTTTATTGTATAATTTGCAACCTCCAGTGACTGGCTTACTGCTATAGATGTCAAGGTTATAAGACAACTGGTGATAGTCTAATCTCTTTTTTGTTAAGTTGTTATGAACCTATTTATTTGTAATGGGTGCAGCCTTGTTTGTTGCAAATATAATTACTTCCAATACATATATATTGGAAGTAATTTTATATATCAAGTACATGGTTAGGAAACGTAGACAAAATGAATAAGTGATGGTATTCAGCATTAGCAGACACATTCACTGATAGAAGTTGATTGCTGAGATTCCGAATTTTGACTCTGTGTTGCATGGTGGAAAGCAGTATTAATTTTCTGCATGCATTAATGCGAAAATTTGTTAACTGTGAATGCCTAAATTCATGAGTTTGGTACTGTATATTGTACTATATAACACATAGACTGGAGGGCAGGATCAGAAAAATAGAAATGCATCAGTGTAATGGTAAAATCTTCCATTAGTACCATTTGAATTGTTTAAGCCTTTGTTGTAGATAGGTTCTTAGAATAAAAGTGTTTGATGTCTTTCCAATCTTTCAAATTTTGGGTTGCTTAAATGTGTTGTAGGGAACTGTGAGGGGCTGATGGTGAAGACATTGGAAGAAGATGCAACGTATGAAATTGCCAAGAGGTCACGAAACTGGCTGAAGCTAAAGAAGGATTACCTTGAAGGCATTGGAGATACACTAGATGTGGTGGTACTGGGTGGCTACTTGGGTCGTGGAAAACGGGCAGGAACATATGGAGGTTTTCTGTTGGCTTGTTATGATCGAGATAATGAGGAGTACCAAAGTTTGTGCAGGGTGAGTGGGGAAGTAGTTGATAATGGAGTAGCCATCAAGTTTTTGAAAGTAAAAATTGTCATATAGTTTTATTTCATTATAGCAAGAGAAATCATTGGCACTTATTAGTTCCTTAATGTTACATGTGTGGAAAATGTTCTGTAAAATGAGAGAATTTTTTCTGCACTTTTGCCATAACTTTTGCACTACCTGTACTTTTAGTTTTTCTTACAGATCTAGTTATATCTGGCAGTTCATAACATACGGTGATCCCATCCTCTGCACTTATATATAAGAATCAGAATTACCCCTCCAAATTTTAGCCAATGAGAAATGCCCAGTATATGATGTTCTCTGAAATGATGCAGAAATCAGTGCATGTCACCTGCCCAGCTATGCTGTTTCCCTCAGATGATTCTCAGTTTGCCAATTGGTGATACCACTTATGACATGAAGCATATAACTTTATGTACAAACAGTGTAACAAGCAATATATCTGTCTTCTGCTGCATGGCAGCCTGACAGCTGCAAACTGTGACTGTGGGTAGTTACAGATTATGTCAGTCATCCTGGTCCATTTCAAGCTCTAATAATTCTTTAAACCAGTAAAGGCAAAGTTTGGCCTGTGTCTAAGCACAATGTCATGATGATGTATAAGGGACACAGAAGTGACAGTTTGTTTTAAGCTGCATGATCCAGCCACTTGCCCCTAGGAAAGACCTTTGTGGTACCCATTGTATAGGAGATTGAATGGGCAGAGACAGTCTGGAAGTGGGAGTGATGAGAAAAGACTGTCCCTGCTGCTGGAAATTGAATCCTGATTGTTTACCTGGCAGCCAATCACTTTACTGACTGAGCATTCCTGGCTCACTAGTAGCTTTAATATTTTGTTGTATATGTTCTCTTCAGATTGGCACAGGATTCAGTGATGAGGATCTACAGAAACATACAGAATTCTTCAAGGAGCATTTGATTACACAACCACGGCCGTACTATCGTTACGACAGCCAGCATGAACCAGATCATTGGTTTGATGCTGTCCAGGTTTGGGAAATAAAATGTGCTGACTTATCACTTTCACCTGTCCATCGTGCTGCTATAGGAATTGTAAGCATGAATATACAATATCTGTAATACATTTAGACAACTATATAAGTATTGACATACATCACTGTGAGATTGACACAGTTCATAAGACTTTTTCATTTTTTGCTTTCATGTCATTCAAATAGAGTAATGTCTTATGAATAACATTTAGAAAAAATTGTTTTCATGCTATATGGGGAAAAAAGACTAATGAAATTGTTGAGATTTCTAAGATTTGTTACCACCATATTTAAACTCAGTTGATCCATTTTTATTTTTGGAGCTATAACGTTATATAGCCCATGGCACTCCTTTTTAGGAAGATTTTGTAATGATGCAACATCTATCATATTTGTAATTATCTTGTTCATGCTCTGCACATTGCCTTCATTGTCAATATTTCTCTGATTCTTTTGATTAAGCTCTTCGGTCAGTGTCATATTGTAACTACAAGGACAAATACTAAACTATGTGACCGACTAATATATATTTTAGGTGGATCCAGTGAAAGGAATCTCATTACGATTTCCCCGGTTTCTCAGAATTCGGGATGATAAAACTGTTGAAGATGCTACCACAGCATCACAGGTCAGTATGTTTTATATTTTGGTCTGTAACAAAGATTGCCTTCTGATGTGTGCAACATCCACATTCTCTTGTAGTCACTGCTGCCATATTTATGAGAAGTGTATTTTCCTTCCTATTCAAGGTTCAGGATCTAATTGCCCATTCCAAAATTCAGAACTAATCATGCCATCGGCTTCTTGGTCATCCTAAATACCTTAGGACAATGGGTTTATAATTCAATATAATTCAGAGTACTCTGTTGCTGTCCATCCTCTCCAGATGTTGCAACCACTTAATTTGATATTCTCTAATTTCTTCATCTGTCCTCATTTTCAGGCGATATCTTATGTTATCATCCTGCATTCTATCTCTCGAGGTTACTCCTACAAGATGTCGAGCATATCTCGTCTGTGATGTTTCCAATCTTCTCCTGTCCTTGTTCCTTAAAACCAATGTTTCACTGCAGTACCTCAGAGCTTGTTTGGCTATAACATTATGCAATCTTTGTTTTACCTGTTTAGTTATTTTCTTGAACTGTTTTTGAATTATTCCATTACTTCTGTTATATTTCAGAATATTTGATTCCATGTCTTCATTCAGCTTATCTGAAATTTTACATCCTAGATAGTGAAAGCTTGATACCTGTTCAGTAATGGTGTCATTATTCACAATCTTTACCCTTCTTTGCCATTTGCCTTTTATATCCATGGATTTTGTTTGTCCTACTGAAATCTTCCTGTTATACAGCTTTAATATTCTATTCGAATTAGTTACAGTTCTTTGCATATCATCTTCTGATGATGTTGTTAGTAAAAATCATCTGCGTAGGCTATATATCTTGACTCCTTTTCCTTTTTAATTTTCTTCCCTTTATGAGCAATATTTATCTTCTTTTAACTATCATGGATTAGGTCATCTGTCCTGTTCTGATCAGAATTACTTCTGAAACAATCTAAACCTTTTATACGAGGCGCGTCCACAAAGTAAGTTTCCCACTCGTCCCACAGCTAGCAAACCTTATATTGCGCGAAGCGACTGTGCGTACATGATAGAGCAATGACGTAGCATGGCGCATGCACTAACGGCACTTCCCGCGTTCTCACAGTAGCATCGTTGCAGCTGTTGAAGATGGAGGTTCTTATTCCAGCCCCCGCCGACTGTGAAGTGCGGTCAGTGATAACGCTAGGCCGCACACGGCTCGACGGACAGCAAGTCTCCTGCAGGAGTTCAGCTGGGAGGTGTTTAATCATTCACCCTACAGCCCGGACCTCGCTCCCAGTGATTTCCATCTTTTCCTACACCTCAAGAAATTCCTGTCCGGTCAGCGTCAGCGTCAGCGTTTTGAGAATGACAGAGAGGCGGAGATGGCTGTCACACAGTGGTTCCAATCCCAGGCGGCAGACTTCTACGACACAGGTATTCAAAAGTTGGTCCCACGGAATGACAGTTGGTCCCACGGTATGACCAATGTCTCAATTCCGGTGGCGAATATGTTGAAAAATAGCTGGACACTTGCTGTATCTGTTGCAATAAATATTTCCATGAAATTGTGTTTTGTTTCTGTAAACGGCCCCAGGGAAACTTACTTTGTGGACGAGCCTCGTAGTAGCCTCTGGACAGGATATTGGGCCATTGTAAGCCTACCTACCATCACAGTGCAGAATAGGTGCACATACATCCAAGATTCAAACCCATGATTATAATCAGGTGTCTCAAAAGGGTACATGCCATTTTCATGAGCAACATACTCGTTTGAAGTTTTAATTATGTTGTGTTTTCAGGTAGCTGAATTATATGGAAGCCAGGAGCAGATCAAGAACCAACAGGGCACTGGTAAGGTTACTGAAGAGGACTTCTATTAGGTGAAATGTTTCTTTTGAGTATATTGTTCAGCTTGTACAAGTATCTGTAATTATATTACCATTTATTACAACAGTTGTTTTAAGAAATGAGAGAGATTTTTTGTGAGGTTATTCTATTGTGATAATGGCTGAACAATACACAGGCCTTGTGTAATGTAAGTTTAGTCAACAGGCAATTTCCGTGCATTTCTCAGTACCTTCATATCTCTCCGAATGTTAACTTTGCCTCCAGTTCCTTGTTATGTATGTTCTTTACTCAAAGGGACCATGTTTCACACATGTACAAAACACTGAATAGAAGTTTGTTTTGTATGTCTTAACTTTAGGATTTGGAAATTGGATGGAGACAGTAAGTTTTATCTAGAATTTGTTCTTTCTCAATTTTGATGTATTTATAGTTAATGTATTATCTTTATGTTGTAACATTACAATTTTGTTGTGATGCACAATGGTTTGTTTTAATTTGTATAGAAAAAGCGATGAAAAGTTAACAAAGATACGTTTGCCTTTACTGATACTGAAAAGGCACATGGTAATATAAACAGATGGGTAATTTGGAAAGTGTTATGTAGGGCACGTTTCCACAGGATTTATGGAGAGGCAAAGAGGAAACAGCATGGTCATAAATGCAAAACTCTCAAAGTTGCAAAACATTTAGATGGGGTTAGGCAGAAAAGTGTGCTGCTGATGTCAGTTTGCCAACATTAATGCTGCTCTCATCCTTTCTGTCATGTGTCAACAAGTGCTGTCTAAAACCAACATGATGTGCTTGCTTAGCAAGGCACCCGATTTTGTCATTTGGGAGTTTTTTCAGCAAACCAGAAAACATCTGTAGACAGACGAATTTTGCATTTTCTGTTCTCAAAGAAAAGCCACGAACAATTGTGCCATCATCTGATGATTTAAAATATGACTCTGTCTGGGTGAACTTTCATTACAAGATACCACCTGCAACAATAAATGCTGACTCTGCCCACCTAACCTTTAAACATCGCACAATACTTTTTTTTTCCCCCCCTACACTCAATTTTGGAAATAGTTTAGAAATAATTGCTGATGGTTTTTCTTCCACACAAAACTGTGAACTGTGTGCCGAATGACGCTTTTTGAAAATATCTACTTGTCAGCTGCAGTGAGTGAAGTTCCTTGTGCTCATACTTTTTCCTGCTCTCCTAAAAACTCTTCTAATTGTCTTTTGGAATCCAATTCCAAATGTATCGGTGGTATAAATGTCGGGACATGAAATCCACTTTGTAGGCTACTTGCTTTTTGCTGCTGACAGTACCATTAAAGAAAATTTCTGCACAAAGGACCTCGGTTTAACGGACAAAACAAAATATTCTGCCTTTGCCACCTCATGTGAAATGGAAGATGTTTATGGTCACCATGTTAAGATTGATTTTGTTGGGTCGTTTTAGGTTAGATCAGGAGAGGACATGGTAATTTGGTAAGGTTGTATGTAGTTAGGTTTGTTTGTTAATGATTTTTAGGATAGGATACCAGTTCAAATTTTATTTTTGTATTTTGAATACAGGAAATGTGAATGTTTCAATTCTGGATGTCGAAACATTTTGAAATTTTTAAAATTGTTTACTAATTATGAAAATTTTAAATGTTGAGATATTTTATAATTCGTGGAGCACGCTAGGTGCGAAACTTCGGGTTGTTATTTAGGTTAGGTTTTGTTCAACCAGGTGAACTTAGCTGAGGTTATGTTGGGTTTGTCAAGGTTAAATTAGATTCGGTTAGGTTTGTTTGTGAGATTAGGGCAGCCAATTTTAAGATAGGTTACATGTGGTTAAGAAATGCAAGGTTATGATAAATGTTGATGTTCCAAGTTTCGCTATTGGAATTTCGGATATGGGAATCATGAATATGCTATTTTGGGGTTTTAAATACTGGAAAATTGTGGAAATAATTTAATTATTTCGCTGGGCAAAGACTACGTGAGGATATTCTGTTACGGAATAAACTTTCCGTGGTTGTTTACGGATCAGCAGTTGAACAATAATTTACTATCATCGTATTGTATATTGGTAAATTATGCTGCTTTAAACGGGTGCTGAAGCTGGGCCGCACGTTACTTCGCGCCTATAGTTCATAGATAAGTTCACACATAATACCAACATGAATCACAGGAAGTACCAACGTTTACAGTACCTGTGACAGATAACCTGAAGTCTTACAACTTGTATAGTAGTTGTAGACATGGCACTGAGTAAAGCGGTTTTTGTGAACCGATTTTCCACGTTGTTAACGAGGGTAGCTGGAAGCTCCGCTTCGGAAAGACGGCTGTCAAATTACTACCCTATAGACGAACATATATTTGGGCTTTCGGAGGAACAAAAACTGGTAATAAAGCTTTTGTATGTTTTTTGTAATGGTAACCTGCAACTTTGGTGAAGAATTATAGTGATATGTAGACACACAAAACTGGTAGTGATATACAGAATGTGACGTAGAGTGCGATTCTCTATCACCGATTTGCAGAGTATGCTATTACGTTTTTGAGGTTGTTTTCTCATGCGTATTTATTAATAGTATGATCGGGTATGATGTATCAGTGAAATATAAGACTAGTAGGCGCTGTATGACACCTATAAAATCATGTCTGAACTCATGAATGACTCAAGAACGGATGGATCGATTTTTGTAAACTTTGATATTCGAGAAGTTTTCAGAATATTGTCGAGCCTTGTCACTTTTCATTTGATCGAAAGGTTTTTACTGCCATTTTACACAGGGGCAAAAGTACGACAAGAGATTTCCACTGTTGCCTGAAGATGGCGGCTACAACCCAGAAGACAGACGTTCTCAAGAGCAAAAATACTTTTCTTAAATTTTGTCTCATTTTTGATAAATACTTGTGAAAAGTTTGTACTTGGTAAACTTGAAAAGAGCTGTTTCAAGGAATTGTTTTGTACTTTGATAAACATCACAGTGTCATTAATTTCAACTCCACTTTCAGTGTTCATACTTTCCTTCCTTGATGTAATATTGTCACTGTAGTGTTTTGATTTATGAGAAGCCAACAATGGAAATTCTTTATTCTAGTATTGTTTTAAATACTCACTCATTTGAAAATAGTGTGAATTAATATATAACTCCATGGAGCATAGCTCTTCATGAGAAGTTGGTAGTATGCTCAGGTAATCAAGAAATTATGAAAGCTGAATGCTTATTATTATGTTCACAAGATCCATATCTTGAGACATG